ATTAATATTTTTTGTTATATATTTTTGTTTTTTGTACTTTTAATGTTTATAACAATAAAACTATATATCTGATTAATTTTTTTTTTAAATAATAACACCCACTCACACATCACAATAACCAAAAAAAAAAAAAAACAGTAAATGGTATTAAATTTTATCATATAAAATTTTTTTTAAACATATTCAAATAGCTTTTAAATACATTCTTTTTACTCTTTCTTTGTATTTCTAATACTAATATCATATTTTAAATTTAACATTTAGGTTTATAATTAGTCCTCTCAGCATCAACTTACAATAGACTGCATTTATACACATTTTATATCTCAACGAAAATAACAATATTTTAAACAACAATAACATTAATAATAATTACACAAAAACCGCAAAAAATATATTCACACATAAATTTTATCAAACTCACTACATTATATATAATATAAATTCACTTACACATAAAATATATTTAATTTTATTTATTTTATTTATTTTATTTATTTATTTATTTATTTATTTAAATTTTATTTATTTTTATCACAATAATTTTTATTTAAATATCAATCAAATTTTAATAATTATTTTAAAAAACAACAACAACAATTTTTATTATTATAATAAAATTTTAAAACAATAGTATTTATTTTTATAAATTATATAAAACAAATAATAATAAAAATGGAAGGTAATTTAATGAATTCAGAAATCAGTCCATCTTTCGCTATGAAAATCAATGGTTACAACGCTAACGATATCTGGGGTGGAAATATTGAAGACATCAATCCATCATCAACTCCATTAATGTCATGTCCAATGCGTCACCAAATAATTAGACCAGCCACAACTACCGAAGAATACTATAATTTCGATTTTAGAATGGGTGCCCCAATTGTTGGAGTTGAATTATATGCCACCCCAACTTTAACCCATGGCTAAATTAGATAATAATACAAAAAAAAAAAAAAAAAAAAACAACAAAAACTTTATAAATTAACATTTGGTATCAAATTTAATTTTAACATGTATATATCAATTTTATTTATTTTAAAATCAATATATAAATATAAAATTAAATCTTTAAAATAGAAAATAAAAAATAAAAAAAAAAATTTTCGATTATGTAAAAAAAAGGTTCTTATTTTTATTATTTATTATTATTTATTATATTACATTTATTTTTTAATTTTTAAAACCAAATAAAACCAATGAAAGTATTATTATAATTGTAAATAATGGATTGAATGGTGATAACGAAGAAGCAACTGATCTACCTGAATCTCTTGAATCGAATTGATTTGAACTTAAAAGTTTGCTGTTTCCATAAAACTTACTATTAAAAACACTACAAGAGTAACCTTGGGAGTGACAATATATTTCGTTGGGTCCTATACATGTTAAATAATCTGCATCTTTAATAAAACAAGCATTTTTGTTTTCCTCTGATGGTACGCATGAATTTCCCCTTGCATCAAAGCAAACACCAGTAACCGTAGTGTTTTTTTCTTGGAATGTACATGTAATAGATTTGGTTGTACTTTGAACTGTTATTTGATTATTATTAAAACTGCAAAGTACGACATTAGATAAAATACTGCTTGATTTGGTTACTAAAACTGGAATAATTAGTGCTATAAATAAAACTTTCAAAACTTGTATAATTTGAATTTTCATGTCATTATAATTATATTACTATAATACTATAATAATATTATTATAAGGGGTGATGTGTTGTGGTTTAAAAAAATTAAAAATTTAAAAAAAAAATAAAAAAATAAGATAATTTAAAAAATTAATAAAAATTTAAAAAATAAAATTTTTTTAAATAAATTGTTTAAAAAAATAAAAAAATTTCTAAAAGAGAAATAAAAAAAGGTAATTTTAAACACTGTTTTAAATTACCTTTTTTAATTTTTAATTATATTTTATTTTTTTCATTTTTGTAAATTCATCATTATTTATAAATAAACATTTAAAAATAAATATAAAAATTAATAAAAATAAAATAAAAAAAAAATAAAAAATTTTTTTTCAAAATTTTTTTTCAAAATTTTTTTTTAAAATTTTTTTAAATTTTTTTCTTTTTTTTTCGTTTTTGTATATGATTTGTAATTTTTAATTTAGATACATTAATCAAAAGTTTTATTACCTTTTTTTTTTACATTCTTTCTAAAACAAATCAATCAATATAAGGATATATAAAAAGTATATCTTTAAAAACATATATAAAAAGAAATGAGTATTGTCCAAAAAATTAAAGAAATTGAAGATGAAGTAAGTTTAATTTTTTTTTTTTTAGGTTTTCATATAGATAGATAGGTTCAATTGAATAAAATTCAACAAAATAAAAATAAAAAACAAATAGCACAGAATAATAGCATATAGCAATAACAGAACAATCAAAACAGCAATATCAATCAAATATCAATTTATAGAAAGTGTGATCAATTAATAAATGGTTAATTAACATTACAATTTTTTTTTTTTTTTAGATGGCTCGTACCCAAAAAAACAAAGCCACATCTTTCCATTTAGGTACATTAAAAGCTAAATTAGCTAAATATAAAAGAGAATTATTATTAGGTCCATCAAAAGGTGCTGCTGCATCAGCTGGTGAAGGTTTTGATGTATCAAAATCTGGTGATGCTCGTGTTGGTCTTATTGGTTTCCCATCAGTTGGTAAATCAACTTTATTAACCAAATTAACAGGTACAAGTTCAGAAGTTGCATCATACGAGTTCACAACCTTAACTTGTATTCCAGGTGTTATTAATTATAAAGGTGCTAAAATTCAAGTAAGTAACCAATTATATAGATATATATGAAATAAAAAACAAATAATACTAACCAACATTATAATTACTATTATTATTTATAGTTATTAGATTTACCAGGTATTATTGAAGGTGCTAAAGATGGTAAAGGTAGAGGTAGACAAGTTATTGCTGTTGGTAGAACTTGTAATCTTATTTTAATTGTTTTAGATTCAATGAAACCATTAGTACATAAAAAGATTATCGAAAGAGAGTTGGATGGTTTTGGTATTAGATTAAATAAACAACCACCAAATATTACATTCAAGAGAAAGGAAAAGGGTGGTATCAATTTTTCACACACACCAAATGTTACACCAAGTCATTTAGATTCAGATCTCGTTAAAGCCATTTGCTCTGAATACAAAATCCATAATGCTGATGTAATTTTACGTTGCAATGCTACCGTTGATGAATTAATCGATGTCATTGAAGGTAATCGTATTTATGTTCCATGTATCTACGTTTTAAATAAAATCGATGCCATTTCAATTGAAGAATTAGACCTTTTAGATAAAATTCCACATTACGTTCCAATTTCATCTCATTTAGAATGGAATTTAGATGCTTTACTCGAAAAGATTTGGGAATACTTGGCTTTAATTAGAGTTTACACTAAACCAAAAGGTCTTATTCCAGATTATAACGAACCAGTTGTTATTAGAGGTGGTGAAGAAGCTACTGTCGAAACTTTCTGTAATCACATTCACAATTCAATTATTAGACAATTTAGATAGTATGTATATTTATAGTATTTTAATATTTATCATTTATTTCAAAATTATTAATCAAAATTTTTTTTTTTTCTTAGTGCTCTTGTTTGGGGTTCTTCAGCAAAACACAACCCACAACGTTGTGGTAAAGACCATGTTTTAGCTGATGAAGATATTGTCCAAATTGTTAAAAAATAAAAAAAATAAAAATAAAATTAGAAATATATTAAAAAAAAAAAAAAAAAAAAATATTTTAAAACAATATCTTTATTTTCCCTAAGAAATTTTATTTTTTTAAAATATTAAAAAATATTTAAAAAAAATAAAAAATTTTATTATATTAATTTAAAGTGGTTTCTAATGCTGTATCCGATTATATGAGGTTGGGTGATGATCATCTTGGTTCTTTATTGTATTGAAATTTTATGTGAATAGTGCATTCATTTTTATTGAGTGTGATGGTAGTATATATAGTTAATGTGGTTGCGGGTGTGGGTGGTGTCTTAATACAAATAAAAAATTAATTTTTTGTGTGTTTGGGGGTTTGATAGTTTTTGGAGTTAAGAGAATATTATTATTATTTTTATTGTGAATCATTATTATGAATAAACTCTATATTATTTTATTATCTAACACCCTTTATTTGAATTGAAAAATAAACCTAAGAATGGAACAATTTTACCCCATGCAATATTGCTACCATCATTAACACATTCTTCATTATTATATTGGTTGTTGTTGATGTTGTTAACTGCTCTAATATAAATTGATTGTCTACTCGAATTCAACTGAATTTTATTTTTTTTATTTACTGAATTTCCTCCTATTGATGTAATGGATTCTTTTTTTTTATATGTTATTTTTTTATAATGAAAAATTATATTAATAAATGTGATTGATAAAATGATTTTATATTAAATATTAAATTTTGGATTTAATCTTTTCTGTTATAATAAAAATAAAAAAAATTTTTAAAATAAATTGATAAAAAAAATAAAATAAAAAAAAAAGTATAGTTATATTTACCAATTAAAGTCATAATATTGAAAACAGGGGTTTTGTTGTACAATAACAAAGTGTGGGTGTTGATTTTAAAATAAAAGGATAGAGAGAGAGATAATTATAAAATCTAATAATGAAAAAATAATAAATTGTGAAGGAAATAAAAAATAAAAAATTATTAGGGGTGTGCATTAAATGAGTGTATAAATTGTTTCATGTTTAAGTGGGTAGGTTTTATTTTTTTATATTTTTTTATATTTTTTTTTTTTTTTTTTTTTTTTTGTTTGGGTTTTAATTTTAAATTAAATTAAACTTTTGTTATTTTACATAAATTAAAATTTAGTACACTAATTTATTCAACAAAAATACAGTTATATAAAATATATAAAAAAAAAAAAAGTTTTTTATATCTGTACTAAATAAAAAAAAAAATTTTAAAATATCTTTGTCATATGTTTATTTTTTTTTTTATAAAGTAATTTTAATTTCTTCATTAACTTGGTAACTATAATGTAATTCTAATTTAATATATTCAATATTTAAATTCTATTTCTCTTTCTACTTTTCCATCATTTTAAAAAATTCTTCTTAATTCCACAGAAATAACATTAATATTAATTTTAAAAAGGTAACTATTAGCATATTATTTAATGACTATGTTTTGATCATTTTTGTGATAGAGTTTTAATTATGGCTTGTTTTATTGAAACCAAATTTTTTATGTTAATTTTCTATTATATTTTGTTCTTTTTCCCAAAAAATATAAATTTAGAAAAAAAAATAAAATATTTTAAATAATTAATAAATAATTTTTAAATTTAACAAATAATAAAATAATAATAAGAATGGTAATAATAATAATAATAATAATAAATAAAAATTTTAAAATAATACAAACAATCTTTGTGAGTGTTAAAATTTAAAAAAAAATGTGGGGTGGAACAATGAAAAATTTTTTTATTACTATAATAATAAAATAATAATACAGTATTGTTTTTTGATTTTAATTTGTTTTGTTTTATTTTTTAAATGTTTTAAAATTTTATTTTTTTTAATTATTATCTTGTTTTACTTTAATCCTATTTTTTTTTTTTTATTGTTTTTGTTTTCATTTTTTTTTTTTTTTTTCATTCTTTTAAAATCCTTTATCATATAAAGACAAAATTTGGTAAATATTTAAAATATACTGATTTTTTTTAATATTATAATTATAGTGTATAGGTTTGCTATTTGGTTTCCAATGAAAATATAGTATTTTAGATACCAATTAAAGAAGAAAAAAAAAAAAAAAGGTTTGAAGAGAATTAAAAAAGATTTATTCTCCATGGGTTTAGGGAAGATGTCAAGGTTTCGTCCTTCATACGGTTTAAATTTAACCATATAATATTATAATTTATTTTAT